TCTCTCTCTCTCTCTCTCTCTCTCTCTCTCTCTCTCTCTCTTTCCTGTCAATCCAGATGTAGAATTCTATGCTCCTTCTCTAGTACCACACCCACCTGTGCCTGTGTGCTGCCTTCTATCCACAATGATACTGAATTAAACCTCTGAATTGTAAACCAACCCCAGTTAAAGGTTTCCCTTTATAAGAGTTGTAGTGGTCATGGTTTCTCTTCAGAGCGATAGAACACGAAGACAGCAAGTAACCTCAGACCTACCACATCAGCAGGCATAGCAGAAAGGGGAGGATCTATTAAGAGGCTGAGGTTTACTGCAAGTTCTAATTCATCAGAATTAGGTGAGATTGGAAGACACTTGCCACTGAAGTAGGCTCAATATTTAGGGGTTCTCAAAAAAAAAAAAAAACCAGGTAGGGAGGGTGAACAAAGCACTGGTTGAACAGACATATTCTAAGCAGAAAAAAAGTTCAGGAAAGCATGTAACATGCAATAAACACTTAAAGGAAGGAAAGACAAACTATTTCTGATAGCAAAGACTGCAATAAGGTATGGATTGGTAGAAGGTTATAAAATTCAGGGGCTGCTGAGTTTGATCAGTGGGTAAAGATGCTTGCCACAAAGCCTGATTTAATCCTTCAGTTCAGTCCCCTAATAACTACATGATAGAAAGAGAGAACCAACTCCTAGAAGCTTCCCTCTGACCTCCACATACAAACACACACACAAACACACACACACACACACTAAATGTGTTTAATAAATTAAAGTTTAAATGGCTTAATATGATAGATATTTAATATAGTTCAAATGAAATTTTTCCATTGGGCTGGCAATATTTCCCCAAGAGGTGAAGTCATCTAACAAACCCTCTATACCAGGCATAAGAAACACTCTTCTGAAGTGTTAGTAAGGATCATCCAAAAACAAAAAGACTCCTAAAACATTATAGGCTATTGATAGAGCCCTTGATTGCTCCTCCAAAGGCAGAAGGTAAGTTCCAAGGTTGAAAACACCGTGAACTTCAGACAGAGGTCCCAAAAGTCCCTGAGATGAAACTAACCCAAATGCCTCCTCCCTGAGGACCAACTCTCATGGTACCAGAAGGTGCCATGCAAACTCCCAAAAGAGGGAGGCAACCAACAATCTTACCCAGCAATAATACTCATGGAACATAACAAATGCCAGCATAGCATGATAATTCAGGCTGCAGTAGGGACACACATATCTTGGTAATAACCAACAGCTCTTGAATTGGCCACAAGACCCACTCAACAGGAGGGAAATCATGACTGGTGCTGGAAATCTAACCAACTACCCAGGGCTAGTGAAGTCATCTTCTTGAAGAAAAACCTACAACCTCCACTTTAGCAAAGCAGCATCATCCCTAACTACATTCTAAACATGTGTCCTTACAACCACTCTTTGCAACAGAAAGAGACCACTACAGAAAACCACAGCCAGTCAAGTACAGAATTGTGGAGTCCAGGCCCAGTGGATACCTCTGAAAAACAATTCCTACTTCTAAGGCTCAGAAATAGTTGTAGGAACAGAAATAATGTAGAAGTCAGTGGATCAGTGAGTTTGCTATGATTTTGTGTCTCCTAGTACAGACACAAATCTATACCATAAAATCTCTCCAGCAAGACTGTCTAAACTGAACTGAGCATGAGATGAACAAAGACTACAATAGTAGACATAGTAAAGGGGGTGGAGAGAAGCCCAGAAGGCCTCATTCCCACTCAAGGAAGTATAAGAAAGGAAGGAACGGTGAGAGTGAGAGAAACACCATATGGTCAGCCATGAAACATACAAACGAGTATTATGCAGAATGAGCAAGCTCAGTTTCTGTATTTATGTGTGTGTGTGTGTATGTGTGTGTGTGTATGCAAGCATGTGCACATGTATGTACATGTAACAAAATTAATGAAAAAATGGGCCAGGAATTTGAAGGGGCAAGGAGGGGTATATGAGATGGTTTGGAGGTAAGAAAGGGAAGGGAGAAATGATATAATTATATTGCAATCTCTAAGGTAAACTTTGAAATGAAATAATAAAGCTTTTTAAAAATTATTTTTACTTATATTCATGTAAATGTGTATGAATTTACACATGTGTGCAGGGGCACAGAGGAAGGCATTAGAATCCCCAGAGCTGGAGGTAATGACATCTGTTGGACACCTGACAACTGGGTTTAGATCCTCTGCAATAATAAGAGCCTTTAACCACTGACCTATCTCTCCAGCCCTATTATTTAAAAAAAATAAGAATGTAAGTACAAAATGTACCTTACAAGAGCAATCAGAAGAAATATGACCTATGGGAGAGAGGAAGGCAAACGGGTGTAAGGTAAGACATTTTGAAGTTGTGCCAAGTCAAGTCTAGATCAGAAGCAAAGGAACAGTTTATGTACAGGGGATGCTCAGCAAACAGCAGCTGTATCTGACATATTTCCCAAGCAAGGCCAAGTTCACAAAGTCAATACACTGCTGAAAGTAGGTAGCAACAGTCCCAATGCTACAGAAAGGAAACTGGGCTTCTCATCTACTCGTGTGGTCTTGATCTCCCTGGGGCTTAAGATGTATCATTTAACACAAATTTTTCAGTCCTTCAGAAACTAAGTCAACACTGGAGCCAGAAAACTCAACTCTGTGTCTATTACCTTTCATTTGTATACATTATAACCAGGAGTGTTCAAAATTAGAAAGCTATAGTTATAATATCGTGTGTGTGTGTGTGTGTGTGTATCCAAATCCTAAATCTTTCCCTTGGAAATATGTCATCTATAATACCACAGGGATAGAAGTAGTGACACCAAGTATGGTGGCACATCCCTGTATTCATAACACTTGAAGGGGCAAAGGCAGGAAACCTCATGATTCTGAGTCCAACTTGGATAAAATTGGAAATACCCTCTGTCAAAATAAATCAGAACCAAGAGCTAAAGAATTGAACTACAGTTGAGTTTTTTTTCCAGCACATCATTCTATTTTTATTATTGAGCTCTACATTTTTCTATGCTCCCCTCCCTGCCTTTCCCCCCAGTTGAGTGTTAATGTGCTTGCTCACCATGGACAAGACAGTGGGCCCTGGCTTTCTTAATAAGCCTTGCTAAAAGACCCATCCTGAACACGCCAACTAAAGAGACAAATATTAGTGGGGAAACAAAGAAGACTAGCAATATGTATTCAGTGTGGCCACTTTTACAAGAATGAAAAATAAACAGATCTACAGATCCCTCCAAGTCTCTTTGGAATACTCTGACAATAGGGTTTAAGTTTAAAGAAAAAGCAAGAGGGGTGTGTAGAACTAAGCAGTCCTGATCAAGACGTAACCCTGTGTGTCACTGTTTTTTTTTTTCTGAAGCAAGGTAATGTGTTAACTGTCAGAACTGTGTGACAAGCTCATCCTCTGGCTGGCACCAGGCGTCAGCCTTTTCCCTCCCCTAATGTATGATTGCTAGGGAAATTCCTATTCATCTTGGGACTTAAAAAAAAAGTTTCTTAGCCAAATGGAGTGGCCCAAGTATCTTCCGCTGGAATAGCTCCACCCCTGCCGTGATGGGTCTAGAAGTTAATGATTCAGCACGTGCCTGCATAAACACCTAAGATGTTGATGGATGTGAGCTCCCATAAAAGTAAGAATGTGTTATGCGAAATTACCCTTAATCTAACTGTAGTACTTTTAGTGGTAAGAAGGGGACTTTGAAGGAAAAACGAACAGATAAAACTCCACAGTTTCTGAAACTTTGGATCCCTACCCCACAGTGATTCTGGTACTATATAGGTAAAGACATGTCTGGGTAGATTCTTCTAAAACTTAAACTTCCAAAGTTTTGTGACCACTAAAAAAACATCACAAATTCAAACTAGATCTGTGATATTTTTAGTCTGGGCTGTATCTATTCTCTTCTGAAATTTTACTGAAAATAATCTGAAATGAATGTTGCCAGCTGCTTTGGAAGGTTACATGGGGTGGAGAAGCAGTGTATGCTTCCAGCCTCCCTTTGATCCTCCTCCTCTACATCATGCTGACAGATTCTCTGGAATCACCGCAATAGTGGTGTTGTACCATTAAGATAAGAGGCTACCCATGTATCCACCAGGAGCCTTGGGTTCCCACCCTATAGCTTCGTATATGTCACAGTCTTGCCCCTCAAAGTCCACATTGACCTACCTAAATGATGTGGGGAATTCATGAGGAACTCTACTACTTAAACAATGCAAAGAAACATCAAATCTAAATAAAAATGTTGTCTTAGTGGCTACAGTTTGAACCCAAATCCTTTGGAACCTACGAAATGGACATGGAGGTCTTTCTTAGTAATCCTTCTTTGGAGTATGGTTTTATTATAATACAATGTATTAATGTATTAAGCTATATAGTCTCTTAATCAGTGTGTACCCTTTCATATCATTTTCTGTTAATGTAGGCAACTAAATATATAATTGTATTTTTCACCTAAAATTGCCACAGAAAACTGAATACTAATCATTATTTTTGTTATGTATTTTCAGGTGGAATTTTAATGAAGCCTATGAAATTATATGTATCAAGTCTTTGAATAATGTAATGCCATAATCTTTCAAAATATATTTAGAAGATTTATTAATAATATACACTTACATGTTTTTATAGCTCCTTGGTAGAAATTTTGGGTGTTTTTATACTGATTTAACTAAAAGAACTAATAGTCACAAATTTAATGGTTTATCACATGAGGGCCAAAAACCGCTACTTGAGCCAATCTGCAAATTAAATGCTGAGGAGAGGGAGATCACAGCAACATCCAAGCTGGAGAATTTCGTTTTAACCTCAGCGTTTTAAAACTTTTCTGAGCAGTTTCCAGTGTCTGAATTAAATGCTCTTGTCCTTCTGTTGATGAACATACCTGTGTGTGAACTGATCACGGGAATCCAAATTATCTCATTTCTCTTTTCCTTATCAATCTGTGCTTATATTCAAAGCCTGTCCCAAAGTACATTTATCTTTCTTCTTTCCCCACAGCTGTTTTGTGACAGTGAAGAAGTGATACACACTACAGAGGGTGTGGACTGGGAAGACAGAGATGTTCCGGGAGCATTGGTTGGAAATGTGGTACACGCACGGATGACCAGTCCTCTGCGCCTGTTTGTTAAGCAACCTCCAGGTCCAAAACCTGCATACACAGACAGCATGGAAAACTTTTGGGATTGGCTGGCCAACATCACGGAGATTCAGGAGCCACTGGCAAGAACTAAAAGACGGCCAATAGTGAAAACAGGAAAATTTAAGAAAATGTTTGGCTGGGGTGACTTCCATTCTAACATTAAGACCGTTAAACTTAACCTGCTCATCACGGGGAAAATTGTTGATCATGGAAATGGAACGTTCAGTGTTTATTTCCGACACAATTCAACAGGCCTGGGCAATGTTTCAGTGAGCTTGGTACCTCCTTCTAAAATAGTGGAATTTGAAGTATCCCCCCAGTCTACCCTGGAGACCAAGGAATCCAAAGCTTTCAACTGCCGTATTGAGTATGAAAAAACAGATAGGGCAAAGAAGACGGCTCTGTGCAATTTCGACCCTTCCAAGATCTGCTACCAGGAGCAGACACAGAGCCATGTGTCCTGGTTATGTTCCAAACCCTTTAAGGTTATCTGCATTTACATTGCTTTTTACAGTGTTGATTATAAACTTGTGCAAAAGGTTTGTCCTGACTACAATTACCATAGTGAGACGCCATACCTTTCTTCTGGATGAATCTTTTCTCAGTAGTAGAAATGAAATACTCATGCCAATTTACCTAAAATGCCCAAGAAACCACCCCAGCTCTCCATGGAAAAATATCCTTTTTATTTCTGACAGTGGACTACAATTCCTTGTCCAGTTTTCAAATATATTCAAATATGGAGTGCATTTGTTTTGGGGATAAGCACCTTTATCAAAAAAGTCAAACTGATTGTGAAACTGTCATTTTCATGGGAGATGGTAACATTCTGGAAATGCTGCTTCTCTGTAAGAAGCATCAGTAGTAGCCATGTGTGAAGGAAGGAACTGAATTGTGTGCGTGATAAGCATTGCTCTTCAAGTGAGCCTGCTGTTGGTTCAGCCAAGTAACTGAAAGGTGGTATTTAATAGAAGAATTGTGCTTCTGGTGTCAAACCCTTTTCTAAATCTCCTGTCTCTTCATATTGGTGCCAGTTTTAATGGCTGTGACTTCACAGGAGAACAAACACATTACCACGTGGGCAGTTAAGTAGAATGTGGTCAAAGCACTTTGCCTTTATGATTTCCGTTTGAGTCATAGTGTGACATACCATTTGGGTATTAGATAAGCAAATGTGGGTCTAAATCAGCTCAACAATAATGAAGATAACAATGTTTTCAAACACTTTCATGCCAAGAGATTGTTTTCTAAAGTTCTATGCACATTAACATTTAGGACTTCATTCCATTCATTTGGTAATCGGATTTTATATACATTTATGGAACAGTTCTGAAATCAAAAGAAAGTGTTTCTGGGGAGAAAATTCCAGTCATGGGCTCATTATTTGTAGCCCCTCAGATTAGGCTTTCTTTTGTGTGTGTTTAGGTAATCACTAAATTGAGAATAAGAAATTTCTGTGGAAATATGAGTTATAATTGGCTATTTCTAAATGTTAAATGCTGATACCTACAATGTCCATAGCCCTGGGCTTTAGAAATTACTTTACTCTCAGTGCCCTCATCTTCTACAAGAGTTGGGTGGCCATCTTTATGATGTAATTTGACGTTGTGTGAGAAGAGGCAAAATGATGAAAGCTTTTAGGGCTCCAGACGTGTGATTACCCTCCCTGTAGTAGATGTTAACTTCTCTCTCACTTCTCATCTGTACAAAATCAACTGAATAAAATACTGAAAGAGGGCTCATGGAAGGTAAGTTATAACCAACAAATATGCTCTTATCACCCTGTTCAGAAAGCCAGCAGCTCTGTTCTCTATTTCACATTTCTATTCTGTTCTTTTCCTGGTGATATCTGCAGTGTCTTGTTTTGTTGTTTGTACAAGTTGTGCTCCGTTTAGTGTGTGGTTGTCTATGCTTGAAGCTTGTCCTTTGAGCTCACTGGGTGCTTTGGTAATTTTGTGGTTGGTGAATAATATTTTGAGACATCAGTTTATGTTCATCTAGAAATCTGAGTAAAATACTATTTATTGTAAAATATGTGGGTAATATATACTTAGGATTTTCTGCGTACAAATGAAATATGTGTGCATTTTTATGTAAATAAAATTATTTGCTAGTTCTGCACATGACTCTAGGTGTTTGATTGTTTTTTAATAAGTTTCCTTGTTTTTTCCCTCAGTTATATTCTTCTCTGTGTGTGTATTTAATATCAATTAACTGTTGAGATTTTTCTTGTATACATGTTAAGTAGGACAGGCTGGCTAAGAAGATTATAAAATAAATAGTAACTAATGTAAAGTAGATAGAAGATAGTCTGACATCAAGTAAAAAATTTTGTAGCTACAGCTGCTGTCCTTATTGTGTTATTTAACATGAGATTAGATTTTAAGATATCTGATGTTCAAATGCTAAGAGGTATAAGCATTTCTATGCAGAGAAATAGATTGCAAGTCAATTTATGCCTTTTTTCAACTCAAGCAGGATTTGTGCATTTTTTTTCAAGTTTCCCACAGGCATATTTTTAAAGTAGTGTAGAACATATGCCACATCTATTTCTAAGTCATAACTTCACTTCTAACTACATAATCATCAGCGATGGCACTTGCCATATTATAAGTCAGACCCCATTTAATACACATATGCACACATTCCTATCAAAACCATTGTTGCTTTCTAGTGCTCAGTTAAGGAAAATGACATTAATATAAGCAGTTTTCTGAAGCAATAATAAACTGTTCAAAAATTAAGAAATAAAACCTTTTTTAAAATTTAGTGTTAAACTAGAGGGCAAGCTAATAACCGAATATTAACACAAGGTGAGTACTTCAAAAGGGAGCACTGTTGCTGCTATGTCTGTCTGTTGATAGTTACACCGCATCTCCAACAGATCGAATAAAGTGATATGATAACTAAAATGCCTTCCTACTGATTCCTAATGAGACAGTTAACTCAACCAATAATTACAACAAACAGATTGAAGACACAGCCCAAACCACTAATATAAGCATAAGATGGCATTCAAAATATCTTTCCTCTAAAATTTTTAGGGTGATCATTTCCTTATGAATTTAATGCTCTTAAAACTGAAATTATAGAAAACATGAAAGTGGAGCGATTTTTAATCCAATGATACACCTGGATAAGAATTAGTACCAGCCGAACATTTCATTTAAAGTCTTAGATGCTTCCAGTACCTGAAACTGTATTTTGTAGAAATGGTTAAATTTTGTAGAATAGCTAAGCTGCCTAAAACTCCTTCTTTATCTCATAAAAAAATATCTCATTGACTATCTAACCTCTAAAATAGAGGACAGATACATGCATTTACTTACAGTCAAATGAAAATTAACCCAAAATTAGTTAATCAAACCATCAATGAGTAAAATGACCAATTATAAAAGATAAATCACAGGAAAGTTATCTCTTATTAGGGATTTTTTTTTCTTCCAAAGTTATAGGAGGTGTTCGTGAATCATTTCCTATTCCTCCTCATCTCCATGTTGAGATCTGGAACTCTGGGAACACATGCCATCCTGTTTCATTTCAATCTTTCCTTGACTTCATTTAGTTCAACTTCCCCTAGAGCATATGTAATCTTTCATCTGAGAGAATGAGTCAAATTTGAGAATCTTCTACAACAGCTGGCTGGCTATCTGGTCTGTAGTACTGTAGCAGTCAGGTTTCTCCAGAGAAACAAAGTCAGTAAGATATGGATAGTGTATGAAATTTATTATGGGAATTGGCTCACACTGTTGTGGAAGCGAGGAAGTCCAAAAAACTGGAGAATTAGAAGAGCAGGTGGTATATTGCAGCCCACAGCCACAGCCTACAGACAAAGGAACTAGAAAATTTAATGGCCAAAGACAGAAGAAAAATGAATGTCCCAGCTAAAAGGGGAATCAGGAAGCAAGTTTCCTTCCTCTGTGGGTAGAATCTTGTGTTCCATCCAGACAAACGGATTGGATGCTAGTGGGAGTGTATTGTTAGTCGACTTGCTTTCCTGTTAGTCTCTTCTTGGAAGAACCTTACAGAACATGTATAAATATTTTACCAGTCATTTTACCTATATGTCAAGATAAAGATACAATTAAACATCACAAATTGATACTTAATTAGCATTTGTGGTTTAATTTTTTTTCAATCTCCAATGCAGTGTAGTGACTGTTCGGGTCCTACTCTTCCCAAATGAGGCTACCATATATTATTTCCTGCGTGCAATCAAGCTCCAACTTAGCGCAATGCTCAATGACTATTAGCACAGAAAGACATTGAAACTGAAAAACTAGACACTAAACACACAACTGCAGATTTTGGAATTGATGCAACGTGGATTTTTGCATTGAATCTATCATTTATTAAGTATGGGACCATTAGCCCACTACTCAACTTGTCTCATCTTCAATGTGGAGTTATAATTTCTGCATCATAATATTAACAAAGAAGCAAATAACTATAGATTGTGAACAGCAATAGATAACAATATTTTAAAATTCGATGCATTTTTATTTACTTTCTGCCACTACTTATAGACAGGGTAGATATAGAAAGGCAAGTATAAATAAACTTCATTGGTTTTATTCTGTCTCTTGCTTCAAAATTACTTAATAGCAATCAGTGAAGGTATCTTTATTGCTGCATTCAAAACTGTGTATGTAAGGAGAAAGTTGTGTCATTATCTTGGGTGTCTTTGGAATGACATCGACTTATAATATTTTCTTTCTTTCTGTAGTAGAGAGAAATCAAAAACTTGGGCATAGCATTTTGCAAGAAGAAATTCATTTTCAAAAGAGGAGCTAGAAGACTTTGTAGTTTAAAGCCCCATTTTCTTTTTATAAGAAATAAAGTTTGTAGTAATAATTTTACTTAGATTTTTAATGTAATATTTTATAAATGAATGATTGCTAAATGGCAACCTACAGCTAAATTAAATTTAGGTAGAGTGATGACCTTACATTTTCTTTTTTATGTTATCTCAACAAAATCATCATACCATGTCATTGTAGGCTTGCAGTTACCTTGTTCAGTGGGCCCTTCCTTGTCTGTTGTGTTTTGCAAATGAGAACCTCATTCACACTCAATCAGTTTCAATTTTATCTGATAGTGTTTAATTAAGATTGACAGACAGTTCACTTTGAATCCTGACATGTAGGGTATGTAACCCCTGTGTCATTAAGGTAAGAAGGCAAATGGAGTTTCCTGCTAAAAGGTAAGCAAATATCTAAGCATACATGGGTAAGGTAAGTCTTTAAAGTACAAGGGTCTTGAAGGCCAGCGACAGTCCTTGCAGTTGGATTCATTCAGACAACTCCTTGTGTCATTGTAATCAACTATTCACTTCAAATTGTTTTTCTGTAGATTATACTCTAGTTGAATCCTAGCAGAAAACTTTTTATTTCTTTTGCAATAAACTTTTTATTTCTCTTACTTCTTTTATTTTTGGTCTGTTCATGTTATGTGCTTTGTTCACTTGGATCTGAACAATTTTGACAATCCTCTAATTAAAATAATAATAATAATAATAATAATAATAATAAGCTTTCTGTCTGTGGTTTGACAGATTTTTCCAGGGAAGACACGACTCATATATCTCTTCACCACAGAAAAGGAACCCGCAATAGACCAAAGTAATAATTGCACCAATGTGCAATCTGTTGTATCCATGAGTGTTTGGGGGGGTTACTAACAGGAGTGTGGGTGTGGGGTTACTTCTGAGGAACAGCAATAACTCAAATGCATCTGTTTTGCCAGAAGGCCCACCCCACCCCACATGGGTGATGACCACTGGATCTCTCTGCAGCTTACAGGCAGTTTCACATTCCAACCGTGTCTTTCTGAAGGGAAGCCTCACTAAATTCCCCCTCTTCCCTGGAACAATGTTTCAAATTGTAGCGAATGTTGAGATTTATAGAAAAATGACACACAACAACATATAACTATGGAATCTGAGTTAGGTTCTGTCTTTGATTTCTGCCCTTTTGGGGATAATATCCGTGATACGGTGCGAGAATTTTGGAGAATATTGGAATCTGGGTTGTAACAAACCCTGGTAGCCTACTTATTTTAGGAGCAAAGAACAGTGTCTGTAACCTTAAGCCTCTGACTACTGACTACTACAAAAACATCCTAGAGAACAGATGGCAAGGAGGATAAGGGCAAATGCCAAGCCCCAAAATGTATCTAACAGGTTTATAATATATGCAAAGAATAAAGAGATTTCCTATACTAAAGGATAAATTTAAGTTACAAAAGTATGGTAAGAAAAATACAATCTGAGAGGAAAAAAAAATCTCTCAATAAGCAATAACATAGAGATCATGTATCAGTATCAGACTATAAATAAGCTTCTTTACTGTTTTGATGGTAACAAGAATCGCATGTTTGTAAACAAACTGTGGGTGATAACTCACATTCCCTCAGATAATTTGATATTATGTTTAGTAATTAATTGAGGAAATCATCAGTTTGGATAGATGTACCTCCAGTTTCCCAAATTATATTATTTTTAAAATACACTTTGTACTATAGTTCCCAGAGATTTTAAATAGAGAAAAGCTGAATGTTGTTTTGCCAAGGACAGTCCTGACTGTTGAATTCTGCAAGTGATTTATTCTCCTACGTCATGTGAAAATAAATGCACCTTCCAACTGACTGAGACTCTTTTCATTTGTCAACTATTGATCCCCTCCCACAGCCTCTCTTCTTGGCTTCATGATTCTTCTAGTGGTTAAACCAATGAAGTCAAATCCTATTTATTCTTCCTACTTTATCTTGTGGTATCACAATCCATAATAGTGGAGTAGCCAGCCACTCACTCATCTTTAGTTAGTAGCAAAGTGGCAGACACTAGCGAAAGGGAAAAATTGTCTGTGCATTTCCTTTATAACCCAGTAATAAAAATTACACTTTGGAAAAATGTATTGGGTGCATTTAAATATATATATATATACATATATATATCCTTTATATTTATATTTAAATATAAATATATATCCTTTACTATGCGGCTACACCAGCAATTTTCTTTGTTTTCCATGATAAGCAAACAGAGAGAAAGATCCCAATTGCTATC